TCATCATCATCATCATCATCATCATCATCATCATCATCATCATCATCATCCTCATCCTCCTCCTCATCATCATGATCATCATCACCATCCTCATCAACAACATCATCATCATCATCAACTTCATCATCATCATCATCAACCCCGTCGTCATCACATCAGTGTTCAACACTAATGCTTCGGTTAGTGTTCTGGTCTAACACTATGATTTTGAATAGCCCACACATTCAGGATATCATTCCCGTGACCCGAGTATAAAACAACAGCAAGAACGCCATTGATATTGACTACCAGCCATATATTGTAGTACCTCCAGCGATGCGAAGTGCAGAGAACGCACTGATTGGGACACATAATGTCTTTCCCAGCACTCTGCCAAATTCAAAGTTTGGTCAACTCTCTTCTTGTGCCACTGTGGAAAACAACACTCTCTTTGGCAAACGATATATATATATATATATATATATATATATATATATATGGTCCTACAAAAGCAGATTCCGGTGTTTGATACAAGGCTGGGTGTGGGTCCGAGAAAACAGTTGTCGAATACTTGAAGATGCCTCAGTTCCGCTGCTTGCAAACACGGCCCGACCCATAGTGATTCGCGCACTGACTTGATTTGCCATATGTTGATTTATAGTGCTGTTTCTGTCAGGTGAGAAGATTTAGCTTTATCGGTCTTGTTTGGTAGGTTGTGACATTTGTTCAAACGATTTGCTCGAAAATTCCAAACGTATGATCCATAAAAGTTCGTTGGACTCGTACTTTTCGGGTGTTAAATGGATCTGACGTGTCGATCAACTCGGCATTCATCTGAGTTTCATTTATTAAAATCGGGTATCAAGTGTCTGCCTGCCAGATCAGACATTCTATGACATGCAAACGATGCTGATGAACCAGTTCCTGGGGCGCCCAATGTCTCGAGACTCTTTCAGCAGCAGATTAACGACACCATGGGGGAAATGTGAACTCAGATGTTAGCCAAATTGTTGGAGAACCACGTCCGCAAACCACTATTCGGTGCAGTCTTCACGTCTTTATTTGTGTCTTATCTTACGTGGACTACTTGTTAGGGTTCGTGGGAACATAAATCTTTGGTTTCTGGTTGTTATGGGGTATGACACACAATGGAATCACGAATGAAGTTTGAACCAATCAGTAACGCACTTACTGCCCGTGTAGATGAAGTTGATCAAATCCGCGAACACGGTCTCATCCACGCCCTGAATTTCAACGACCCGCGGAACCGTGGAAGACTTGCTTTCGGACAACAGTTTATCGAAATATTCTGAACTGGCGGCCAGGATATTAGAGTGAGCCGGAAATTGATGCTGACCGCACCGAACTACCAAATCGCAGTACTTTTGGTCTCTAAAATGCAGTGGACAAAAATTGTATTGGAAAAACACAGGTGACCTCACTGGATAGGGGGGGGGGTATCCAAAGTTTCGACCACTACATCAATTAACAAGCAAACAGAATCTCAACAAGAGAGGTCCATCTACCTCACTAACCGAAGGAAGCACAAGCACTGAGATATATTGTCAGTTAGCCCAAGCCTGGAGAGGGGAGAACGAAGTCTCGGGGGTGGGTTCGAACCTCGGACGATTCGGTCAGTAATTAAACCAAGTTGGTGATGTGGGTTCAAGATTGTAATGTGGTATCCCTCGAATAAATGTTTACCAGGTAAATAAAATAATAAATAAATAAATAAAATAATAAATAAATGAATAAGTAATAAATATAAGTAATGGGTAATCGTGTGATGTGAAATTTCTTTGAAAGCATCAAAAATTTTACGGTTTAGGCCGTTTGTATGGGCACTGACCAAATTCACTTACTCACGTAGTCGGTTCATAGCAAGTAGCTGATGTACACGGTGTCCATCGGAGTCGAGGTCTTGATGCGCCAGACCTTCCTGTTGAATGGACACACGAAAATCTGTGAGTCACGGTTTATCAAACATAAAATCAAGGTGAAAAATGACATCGTCTAGACCTTACTCATTCGATGTGATGGATAGCACGTACGGAAATATGGAACCGTCCACTGGGACACTATTATTCCACGAAAAGTAGAAAAGATTAACTTTAAACAAATCAATCACGTGACCAGTAGGACCTTCTCAATTACTGATCAGCTGCCCTATCGATTAACATAAGTAAGTGGCCATTCAAAAGGAGATCCGCTCACCGAGCCCTGTAATGAGTGTATGTGATCAAAAGATGACAAAGTCGGAAAGTTCTGAAAAGCAAACTGCCGCTTTCTTTTCTTAGAAACCAGAATTAGACTTGGGACTTTCAGAGAGGCTAAGACGGATATGGCTCATTTGCGCAGACGTTGGAGCTCCTGTAACAAAACTACCAACCTCATTATCTAGCTGCACCATTCCGCACTACATCGGACAACCGCAGAATGAGTCAACGCTAACTTTCTGACAAGAAAATCTGCTCCAATGCTTGTGAATTCATTCATCCTTTTCGGTGGCAATATATTTGTGGCTTGTGGTTAATCGAAAGAACCGGGCTGACACATGAAAACCAAACGCAAACAATTCCCATCCGTAGAAAATACCGTTTGGCTGTAGCTCCCTTTCGGTGCCTAAATGCCACGCCACCCGGAGGAAGCACCATCATCATCATCATCATCATCATCATCATCATCATCATCATCATCATCATCATTGTCAGTTGTAAGAACCGCTTACTTATCGTACAACGGTTTCAGCTGCCACAGCTTGCTCGCCGATGATTTTGGGAGGGGGGGTAGATAGCTGCGCATTGGAAACAGAACTGATAAATTGATGTCTAAATACAGCACTGTCAATGGACTGGGGATTGAGAAAGAAGCTATGCATGGAAGGTAATAGCCTGAATGCACAAGCCCCATCGAGGGTGTGACTGGCCCATGTCTGACAATGTCTCTAACTACTGGTGTAGTCCGTTTCGGGATCCCCATCCAGGAAGACAGCAATGACCGGCGCAGTTGAGTTTGCTGGTAATGGCTTCCACACTTCGCTGCCAAGTCATTGTTTGGCCGCCTCTGGCTCTTTTCCACTCTTCAGGTGAAATGAAGCACGATGGCTGGGATACTGCCAGGGTGCCCAAGCCTAGATAGGGGCACGTCGAGAGGCAGAGGTCGGATTCGAACCACTGAGCCATCTCGCCTACCCTCCTTCATTACCATCCGTAATGCATGAGCGGCGTGTTAAGGAATTTGTTGTCAAGTGATTATGCCCACTACCAGTAAAGTACCTTGTTAGGGAAGTTTGGATAAACATAGAATGCAAGCCAAACCACTGTAAATGGATAGCCAACTTTGTCAAGGGCACCGAATCATTTGAAGTTCACCACCAGGAGCAATGTCACAGCTTTACCAAATTTCCACTTCGGATGCAAGTCTCAAAAGGATTATAGGTTTACGGGATCTTGAAGGTTCGCTGTGACTGCTGTCCTGTATGCGAATTCAACATAGAATACGTCTTCCAACTTCTCAGACCTTGGACCCAGGATCCGGAACCCAAAGCCGTTTGTAAGATCGACAGCCGGTCAATTGAACGGAAACTCAAGTGACCTCAGAGAGTGAGGGAGTGTCTTGTGAAGGTCTAGCTTGTGTAATTCCGCATACTTTATTCAACTGGGACAGTTACTGGGTTGAAGTTAGAGCGTTCGGGCAAATCAGTCACGTCAATCAGGTCACTCAACCATGAACACTACACGTGTTTACAGACGTGAAAATTCAGATGTGTCCAGTGTGCACAGGTCGAGTAGTGAGAGCACGCTCATCTCGCATGTCAGATGTCCGGAGTTCAAAACCCCGGCAGTGCCAAGGAAATGCGCTACCGATGAACGAGACCCGAGTAGAAAGCTTCCCCCATCTGGTGTGGACTCATCAGGAGAAGCGGAGAATGTTGGTGGCTCAGATAGCGCAGATGGTCCTTGGTTTGTTCGCTGAACTAGGCAGTTTGACTGTAAACGCTTCACCACCTATCGAGGTGACATTTTCAGTGCGTTTTAAGGGCTTAGTTGAGCGTAGCGACTGGCCGGTGGTTGTGCTGTTAAAATGGGAGAGCAAGGTACATATAGTCAAGCATTGGAGACGGTGGTATGGTCGATTATCTCAGGAAACTGGGAAGTCACGCACCTAATGCGATAGCTTTGATGCACGAGTACCACCGACCGCCTGACTGAACCATGTTTGCCATTGTCAGTAGCCACTGTTGCGTCGAGCCCCGGGGTCCCACCAAGGAGGGCTGCAGCTGATAACTCGAATGAGTTTGCCATCTAGTGTTTCCTCATTCCGATTCCGGGTGACTGACTTTCCAACTCTTGGTCGCTTCCCCTCAGCATCGGAAAATGTTCTCACAACTCGCCAGGTGGCGCATTTTGGAAGTCAGTGGTTTTTCTAGAGGTAATTAATCTATTCCAAATATGGAAATTAAGCTTTGTATAGGTGTATGTTGCAACCACATAAATGCATGAATACCAATGAAGTGTGAATAAGAATTTCATCCTCCAAGCAAGATCAGTCTGTGCTGAAGAGCCAAAGGGCAGTATGTAGCTACTTCGAACTTGTTACTACTTATCAGTAGTATTTATCCCACGAATCACCAGGGTGATTCACACCACTGAGCACCCCCCACGGCCAAACGGAAGACTGCTAGTTTGATATATCCCGAAGATTAGTGAGGTCCTGGAAACCGCAGAGTAGATACACACTGTATCTTTGTAATGTACTACTCATAAGGTTGCTGAAAATCCGTCGACAACCCAAGACCGGTTTCGCTCATTTTGGGGCTCATCAGGTTCCAGGTGAGTCTCTCGAAAAACCAAATTAGTTTGCAAATGAGTGTATATTCGCTAAATACACACTAGTTGCCGGCGGATTCAGCGCAGAATGACCTCCATTGCGGAATGGAAGGTCCATTAAAATTCCAATGTCCTCCCATAGTATCGCTATGCTTCTGCTGTTCTACACAGAGACGGCAAAACGTATTTAATGTGTGCATTGTACTTTAAATGACCGGGTATTTAGGAACACAGTATAAGAGCCAATCACACACAACGACGAATGTCGAACTGTTCACATAGTCAACGAGGCATACTTAAAACAACCTCGACATTTTGATGGCCATTTCAACTGAGAAGTCGTCACTTGAAAAGCCAATCGTTACGTGACCACGTGACGTGGTTTCTATGACTGAAAGATGAGTGGCACTATATTCTGTCCGAGTGAGAACTAATCACTCTGCTGGTCAGCCGCTCATAGCCGAACAGTTGGCTGCTGAAACACTGGCCGCGAGTTCCAAGCTCCCCACAGAAGTTTCGGGAGATGTAATGCACTGCTGATGATTCACAATAAGGAAGAAATACCCCTGAAGTGATCCTCGACTTTTCGGCGTACGCTAGTCTCACTGGCCGGACGAAATTTCAGTTGAAAACTCCCAGTTCTCCCAGCACTGTGATCATTCACGCGATTCTCGGTTCGAAATGCTTGTGGACTAAGGAACCAATTACCTGGTGTGGAAAATCTCCTGGACTGGAAAGCACCCCGAAGGAACTTTCAAGTTCAAGTACAGATGAAACGGGACCAGACAATAAGACTGATTTAGTTTCCAGGACTCTGTTATCACGCTGCTCTGTGAGTAGACCTGCAAACTAACGCTGCGCCAGTCATACTGACGTCTCCTAGCTTGGTGACGAAACTTTTACGACCAAACGTCAGATTCATACGTTAGCAAGTAACATCTCACGGATGGTGTTCCACTCACCAAGCTGCTATCTGCCAAACTGTCCGCAGAGCCTGTCTGAATGTTGGGAAATTTTAAGTTTATCGAATGCAGGGTGGTCAACTTCTGTCGGAAGGAGTCTCCTGAAACGTCATCCTCATTGTTTGCTCCCAGAGCATCTGAAAGGCGTGGAAAGTTAGAGAATATATGGATGAAGGTGATATGACCTGATAACGAGTTAGGCTAATCACTCGTGAAGCTGTAGCAGTATACAGTTTATTGACTTCATTCAACGCAAAGTAACTATTCATTCACAGCTCTCCCACAGTCTGGACCGAGTTCTATTCCGACTTCACTATGCCAGGGTTCGACCAGTAGGATCGTCTTACTCACGACATTTTTATCAGTTCATATCACAAAAAGGAATACAGAGGTGCGATGTGGCTAGTTACACTGGGAACTGATCACATTTTTAATCTTAATTCCAGGTAAGTTGAGGAGTATATCAGTGTCCTTGGTGCACGCAAGCTCTTTCGTTTGAGACTGACTAACTTAGTCTCAAAAATTTGCCGGTTGAGACCACGGTTGTTCCTCGATGGACGGTGGTGCAACTCTGTATCGGTCCCTTGGCCTCCTGCTCCGCCCATTATGGTATATCAAAAGGCACGGTAGCTCTACACAGCCCTTTATGGAGACAAAGGAAAATTAAAACTGTCTTTATAGGGTAGTCACAGAGTGTTCCACAAGGCCGTCCTAAAACCTCCTTGAGGGGGCGAGAAGCATCGAGTCAAAGATGCTCGATCCGGATTGGCTGGCATTCTGACCAATTAGGACACGCCTTCGTTTGGTCCGTGTCCTGCACGTGACACATCCGGCAAAATGATGTGATGTTCGGTCATTATGGATGGCTTGCCTCCGGATAACGACAGAGTACGAACCTCAACGCTTCTATGCCAGACGGCAAGATGTGCTTCTCACTGAATGAGGCAGACTCCAGGTTAATATCCCTGGTTTATTGCCCGATCTGTTGGATAGCCGACCCATATGAAGGCGCCAGAGCTCTGAGGCACGTCTAACTCGCCCCCTATCGACGCTGTCAAAAGAATTCCGTCAACAGCCACATTTTAGTTCGTATACGACATTCAAGGCAGAATTATGGGGTTTGTTGTGCTCAGTCCCACTTGTTTGATGACACCTTTCTGGCCTGCTAAGCTACCTGATTGGTCAGGAGAGGAAAACAAAACGAAAAAAGCCCAGACCCGGGAGAACAGTATTTTCCGGTTAGTTATCTCACCATCACTTTATCCGACTTGCTAGGATCACCAGCATCTAGTATCCAACGGGTGGGATTCAACCAGTCTGTCCTGTGAGCACATACTTCAGGTCACTCTGTGGTTGACATCTGATTGTGCCTCAAATGTGATGGTGTGTTTATTCGATCCTGGTTAGCTGAAAGGTCCACGCGGCGGTTAAAAAGCTTGGACTTAAATCAGTGTAAAGTCAAAACGTCACTCAGCATGTTCCAATCAGATTAGAACATGACAACTATGCACAGCATAAACGCCTGTTATCCACCGCAGTGGACCGGACTTATGGGCATGTAATTAGTGCGTGCAGTTATCTAGTCCCCAGACATCTTCCACATGACTTGTAGGTCATCAAACACTCGCCTTGAAAACTCACGTGACCAAAGATCTGTTCATTTGATTAGCCTGTTTGGAAATGTAGAAGTGGTGCTGATGTGCCTCAAACGACATTAAAAATTGATCCGCTCATGAGCTGAACTCAAAACTTACCAGTCACTGTTCCGTTTTCCACCGGTTGGCTTGCTTCATTCTGTAACGAGACAATGCCTAGTGAGGAATGTGGAGCTAAAATTGAGTTGGATGGCTACGACAAGATATATTGTCGCAAAAATTAACTCTGAGAAGGAGTGACTGATGAACGATAGTCCAGGAGACACCAGCTCACCAAAACTAACACATCTGGTTAGTTCCTTAAGAAAAACTGACCTATCGACCTTGACTTTTGGTCGGACGGCGTCGATAACAAGCGATCATGTAGTCAATATGTACACAGAGTGTTAGGAAACTACCAAAATACGGAGAACTACTGGTAATATTGGCCTCCGGACAACCCACCAAGATCGTGGTACACCTTGCTTTGTCCTTTTGGCCGCCTGATCGATCCGCATTAGCAAACAGACATCTGTTGGCTCTTAGAGGTCTCACGTTGACAAATGTACTATGTCAGTGCGAGAGATTTCGGCGCGTCAATCGAGCAAGTCTGTGCTGAATAAACGCAGGAGCGATGAAGAGCTGCTTCAACAGTGCGCATCTCACGAAACTCCAGTAGGGAGTTTGGAACTCGTCGCGAACTCCCAGCGAATGGTTCAACACTCGACCGTTCGGCCTCGAGCAGCTAACCTTCAATCGCAGGAACACGTCACCCGGTCACCTGTTAACTGCTTCCTTGAGTGACGGCTTCACACGTGAATGTCATTCTCTGAAATTATTATACCTCTGAGCCACACATTAGCTGACAGTAGTATGAGGAGCTTTATCAAAGAGCGATTCCGGACCGCCAACTTTTCAGTGTAGACTGACCCCATTTATAGGGAGTAATCTATGTGTACAATCCACTATATCGAGTTCTTACTTATCAGATTCATTGAATTAGACATAGAATGAATCGCTTTCGTATGACTAATTGCCCTTCATTTTACTCAACCAGCTTTAAGTCAACTGGTTTAGAGTACAAACTAGTAGTATGAGCTATTCATTAGCATGAGTAAACCCACGCTCTGCATGGGGAGTGAATTCAGCCAACGTCCACTCTCCACAAGAAGCATCAGTTCCTCGTGAACTTAAAATTACCCTCTGCGTCTAAGCATTTTCGTCACTATGAGGTTCATTAGCCTGTTATTCAATGACCTGAATGTTGAACATCTTCGCCACTTATTATTATCTATTGATGTGCATTGGCATTCAAAGTTCGCATTGTATTACGAATAGAATTTTCACAAAATCACTGCGTAGTTGTTGCTTCAAGGTCGAAAGCTCGCGTCAGGTTAAGCTACTGACCCATTCCTGGAAGTATTCCGTTGCACTGAAACTAAGCCTCTCTGCCGGTTAGTTATTTATCCTGAACTTTGTCCTTCCCCATAAATAGAACACTGATTTTCTATCTGTCTATTCACCACTCCATCAAGCCATTAATGCAACCACCTCCCTATCAACCTATTAGTCTATCTATCTATCTATCTATCTATCTATCTATCTATCTATCTATCTATCTATCTATCTATCTATCTATCTATCTATCTATCTATCTATCTATCTATCTATCTATCTATCTATCTATCTATCTATCTATCTATCTATCTATCTATCTATCTATCTATCTATCTATCTATCTATCTATCTATCTATCTATCTATCTATCTATCTATCTATCTATCTATCTATCTATCTATCTATCTATCTATCTATCTATCTATCTATCTATCTATCTATCTATCTATCTATCTATCTATCTATCTATCTATCTATCTATCTATCTATCTATCTATCTATCTATCTATCTATCTATCTATCTATCTATCTATCTATCTATCTATCTATCTATCTATCTATCTATCTATCTATCTATCTATCTATCTATCTATCTATCTATCTATCTATCTATCTATCTATCTATCTATCTATCTATCTATCTATCTATCTATCTATCTATCTATCTATCTATCTATCTATCTATCTATCTATCTATCTATCTATCTATCTATCTATCTATCTATCTATCTATCTATCTATCTATCTATCTATCTATCTATCTATCTATCTATCTATCTATCTATCTATCTATCTATCTATCTATCTATCTATCTATCTATCTATCTATCTATCTATCTATCTATCTATCTATCTATCTATCTATCTATCTATCTATCTATCTATCTATCTATCTATCTATCTATCTATCTATCTATCTATCTATCTATCTATCTATCTATCTATCTATCTATCTATCTATCTATCTATCTATCTATCTATCTATCTATCTATCTATCTATCTATCTATCTATCTATCTATCTATCTATCTATCTATCTATCTATCTATCTATCTATCTATCTATCTATCTATCTATCTATCTATCTATCTATCTATCTATCTATCTATCTATCTATCTATCTATCTATCTATCTATCTATCTATCTATCTATCTATCTATCTATCTATCTATCTATCTATCTATCTATCTATCTATCTATCTATCTATCTATCTATCTATCTATCTATCTATCTATCTATCTATCTATCTATCTATCTATCTATCTATCTATCTATCTATCTATCTATCTATCTATCTATCTATCTATCTATCTATCTATCTATCTATCTATCTATCTATCTATCTATCTATCTATCTATCTATCTATCTATCTATCTATCTATCTATCTATCTATCTATCTATCTATCTATCTATCTATCTATCTATCTATCTATCTATCTATTGGGGTTGGGAGGTCTTTGCCGATATCAGCCTCACGGAGAGCAACATCAGAAACGACAGCGATCTATTGCCGTACAACCACGTCATTTTTTTCGGTACAATCTTATGAGGAAACAATGGGACAACGAGGGAAACCACATGGCTGGCCTACCACAAACAACTGAGGTACCTACAACCCCAACACTCTGTTGGACAGAAACTGGCATTGAACCCGGTTACCCGCTATATCCCTCCATGTCTCCAGCAAAGCACAGAGAGGATCACTTCATCCTGGAAAACGAACCAACGTCCTACCAAGTGTCGAACAGTTCACAAGGCGACCCAGGAAGTTGCATCAGGTAGCAGAATGCTGGAAGAATGGATAGTTTTCTGGATGGTGAGCCTCAGATAAGCAACAATGGACTTCTTGAGGTGAACTTTAGTTACCTCCCTCGTGCTTCTTGGACGGGTTTTTTTCGTTATCACAATCATGGTACTCGATTAGACGTGAGAGTTTGCCAAGTTGTTTGAGAGTTGGAGCCTCCAAATACGGCCAAGAAACATTTTATTGACGGATCAAACGTTGAGGTCTAAGTCTGTGCAAATATGAGCCAACTATCGATCCCGTAACTATTCAACCTAAAGTCAGGAAAATCTCTTGAAGCTACGTTCAAGAAATAATACTTCAAGCTTGAACAGGGCTTCATGCAATAGAATAAACAATGAGCGTTTAAATGTCAAATTCAACGTTTGTACCCCGGAACCATCGATAGCATATTGACAATGTTTAGTGAGAAGAATAAAGGCAAAAGTAAAAATCAAGCAATGAAAGTTCATTATCCTAAGCTTCAAATGTGAACAACACTCACTTCTGTTACTCCAGGTGATTCAATATGCTCCATTGCTGAATGGATTGGAATAAACGAAATAAAATTTCAATAGAATAAGCGTCTATCCATTTATCTAACAAACCATCGTGTCTGACCTCCACTCTCCTGTTTCTCCATCTTTCTGTCTGCCCGCCTATCTGGCTATCTGTCTGTCTGTCTATCTATCTATCTATCTCTATGTATGTATGTATGTATGTATGTATGTATGTA